CTCTCTTAAAAAAAAACTTAATAGGTATTAAAAACATGAAAATATTTAACCACTTTTATTTTTTCTGATCAGGTTTTATTACTCCATAGAAACTGAAATTTAGCTATAATGTCATACAAAATCTACAAAATCGTTCTTTCTTCCATAGTACCTAGTATACTCCCTTTTCACAAAAAATGAGGAATTAGTGCTTACTTAGGAAACTAAAACAAGTGATGTGCAAAAATGATCTTTAAAAAGAAGACCATCAGAGCTGGGGACATAGCTCAGTGATAGGATGCTTGCCTAGCACGAACTAGGTTTAGCTGGGTTAGATCACTAGAATCACAAACACAAAACAAAAAGTAGAACATCAAAACATACAGATGGGCTATGTAGTTGAAGTTTTATTTTAGCAGACTAGCCACAATCGTGATTCCTTTTAAAGAGCAAATAAAGCTGAAGGAAAGTTATTAGACATAAAAGATATCTATATGATAAACAGTCCAAGGATTCCTTTTCACGGGTACTACATATACTATGAGAATACATCTAAATAACAACTAGGCAGATACTTGCTTGAGTACTTAATACTTTCAATATTCATATTATCACCATCATTTTCAATTCTATTGAAATGTAAAAAAGTTGTACAAATTTACTAACTTTACACATGATCTCCTTGCTATTTATCCCAGAGATTTTTTTTATTCTGTTGCAAAAAAGCAAAACACTATAAATCATTTCTAATACAATACCTTTTACCATGTTAGAGGCATCCAAGATCTACTAAATCAAAGTTATTTATAAAACCTGGTTTTACATTTGTTTAAAACAATACAAATAAATATTTGCTCTAAAATGAGACTTAAATTTTAAGGTATAGATTCCTTTAATCTATCCAAATATTTGTTTCTGTATCCTTAATAACTTAACTGAGAAATTGGAAGTTCACAACTTTCTAAGATTATCTCTCTCTTCATGTGGTAAATTATATAAATGAAATAAAGAAGGGGACAGGGGTGAGAATAGTACTGCTCAGGCTAATCAGTCCAGAGACTAATTAATGCAAATGATAACTTTACCCCCTCTGAAATTTGTTAAACACCTAAGGAAACTGTTATTTCAGAAAAGTTTCCTACTTTTGTAACTTACAAAATATATTTTAATTTCCTAAGAGGATCTATTTCAAACTGGACTTGAACATAAAAGCCAAGACTTAATAGTTAACACTGATTTATTTAAGGAAGAAAAAAGATAAGCTGTGACTTTTGGTCTTAAGAAATAAAACCAATGAAACTGGCAACAAGTTGTTGCTACTTATTTAAAAAAAAAAAAAAACACCCCTACATTTGAAATAGTAATTTCAATGACCCTAGTAAGGGTGACAACACTCACCAGTATGAATCTTCTCATGTCTCTGTAGCAGGTACTTCTGTATGAAACGCATGTCACATTGACTACATTGAAATGGTTTTTCGCCTTAAAATAATTTCACATCCACAGATTAGTTAATGGACAAAAGAACAGTTGTTTAGTTACTATTTCTGAGGAAATATATATCTTAGAAGCCCAAGATTTTGGAAAATTCCAAAATATCCATACAATTTTTTAATACTTTTGATTAACTTATTAGCTTTATTTCCTCTCAAAATGCCCCCCCAGGATTTCACATTCTCATAATCACAGAAAAATGAGATTAAATTTGATTTATATCAAAGAAAAAAAAGCAGAATTTAAAAAGCATAAGTTGAGAAAGAACTCTACCCGTCACCTTGTAACCTTAAATATCTCTTCTTTCCAAGATGTACCCATCCTGTTCTCTGTGGCTAACCATCCCTCTTTTGCCCTATCAACTCCTTTCTTAAGAACCTTCAAAACTTTCTAAACATTCCTTTTAAACAAATTTCTGTCTCTTCAAACTTTCTTTCTCTGCTGAAGCCCCTCCTTTTAAAGGAGAGTACCGTTTAGTCTGCTTCACGCTGAGAAACCTTGCTCCAACCCTGGACTGCTCCTACATTCATATTTTCTCTCCTTCCCTTTCACCACAACACCTTCTCAAAAAAGGAGCAGTCTACCCAAGCCTCAAAACCTTCACCACTCATTTTGTGGCTTGACCCTTCTATTCTGCTCTCTGAAAAACTATACATGATCTCCTTCCTATTTATCCCAGAGACTTTTTATTTTTTTCAGTTCTTCAATCCTCTCTATCCTGAAGATGTGACACTGTTGATCCTCCCTGGTATTCTCTTCTTTTGGCTTCAGGGATAACACTGTATTTTCCTAGTTTATCACTTCCTTTATTACTCTATATTCCTCTTACATACCCCTATCCATCTTACTTGTCTAGCTTGTTTCCCCAAAGAGCTGTGATCAGTCTTTATTTCTTTTCTCAATAGTTTCATGATCTTAGCTACTACTTTTTATATTTGATTCTCAAATCGATATTTCAAACTCTGTATGGAGTATACTGTACAAAAAAAATGTTGACAATATACATTCTTTTAGCACTTCTCCAGCTGAAAGGAGCACTTTAAGCCAAATAAGTGTCCAATTAAGACTATTTAACTAATTTTATACATCCATGCTAATTGATTTTTCATTTAAAATCTCTCCTGGTTTCCTTGTGATATTCTGGCCTATGAAATCTGATTGGTAATGCCAGATTAGCTACGGTCTTAGGAATGGATGACACACAAAAATGAAAATAACAAAGATAATAATTTTAATGGCCATAAGCCCATTTTAATTCAAGAAATACCTGTATGAATGAAGACATGCCTCTGTAAGTGATAGTTCGTTCTAAAGGCAGCATTGCAGTGCTCACAAACGTGAGATTTAGGGGTTTTCAAACCAAGTGATCCATCCTCATTTATTGTAAGGATCTAGTTTAAAAAAAAAAAGGCAAAAACAAAGAAGTTTTTAAAATGTAATTAAATATTATTTTTTTAAAAGGATAATATAAACAAAGGTCATCAGTGGTTATAAGTATTTTTCCATAAATAATCTTGAAAAGACTATTAAAATGATGCTATTTTAATTGTATGAAAGTACAATTTGACTCAGAATGTGTAAAAAGTCATTAATAAAATCCTGAAAGTTGGTTAAGATCTCATCACTCTGCCACCTCCCCTGTATTCCTGATGGAGTCCCTAAGTGTTCTATCCTAGACTGAGCACAGCTATATTTTCGATTTAAAACTCTTATACATGCAGAGAGGAAAGTCTTATGTTTTAAACATGATCTTAATATAAATCAGTATGGGGCATATTAAATAAATCATGGGAAATGAATAAAATTAGCATTATATGATTGTAAAATGAGAAAACTCCCTATAAACTCATAGGGAAAGCACACTAGAATTTAAGTTAAAAAAATTTATATATATAGATACATATATATGTGTATATATATATATGTGTATATATATATATATATATATAGAGAGAGAGAGAGAGAGAGAGAGAGTGTGTGTGTGTGTGTGTGTTTAGAGCCCAGTGTATAATTTTCCTAATTTCTGTTTACAAAAAAATATATATAGAAATATACATTTGTATATGCATAAAAATTACTTAAGAAAGATATACACAAAATGTATATAATATTGTTTGTGATAGCTAGGGACCTGGGTAGATAAGAGATAAGACGGGAGGGATAGCTTACATGTATACTTAAAACATTTTTTAACAAGAAAGTATTTGTTTATTATATACTTTTTAAAAAGAGAGAAAATTAAATTTTCATGTCATCCTAGAGTAAAATTTGGAGTTTCAGTCTGAGATCTCTAAGGTTAATCTAGAACTACTACAATTGTTAAACATATTCCTAAAAACATTCGTTGGTTAGAGGTAGGTAATGGAAAAGGAAGATGAGAGACAAAGAAATCAACTTCATCTTTTTGGGATTCTTGAGATTGAGAATATTGTCTAGACAGTTACCAGAGAGCAACACACCTTGAGTCTTATGAATTCCAATTAACAACTTGGTCATCATGCAACATTAAACTGCCTCTCATTAGGCATGTATTGGAATGAAAATAAGAAATGATCCCTTTTTCCATTACTGAGGAGAGAAAAAAGATGGCAGAATCTGATGTGAAGAAGCAAAGAAACTTAGAAGATCAGATCAGTAGGGGCATGGTCAGTGACAAGGAAAAAAATACTAGAGACAGAAGTACATAGAATGCAAGCTAAAACACTGTCTAGTACAGGAAAGAGATATCTTGAAAATATCTTTAACAAAGGACTGTGAAGTGATGAGGTCCTACAAACACACAGCTATGACCTCTTTCCTAATCCAGGCAAAGGGTGTAAGAAAAACAGGCTTTAAACTTTAAAAAAGGGGCCTGGGGTTGTGGCTCAGTGGAGCACACTTGCTTAGCATGTGTATAGCATTGGGTTCTATCCTCAGCATCATAAATAAATAAACAAACAAACAAACTAATTAATTAATTAATTAATTAATTTTATTCGCCTACAACTAAAAATATTTTTTTTAAAAAAATCTTTAAAACATTTTTTACTTTAAATTTTCAGGAAGGCAGCTCAGCCTATACTATATGCAAATCATTGGTGATTATTATGCAAATTACACAGGGCATTTGGGTTCTGGGCAAACTGCCAATGTGGTCAACAATGCTTCAAAGTCTATGCACTGAAGTCATAGAAGGGAAACATTGGCAAGAGAATGGAAGTGGGTGTCACAGCTTCCTGAACAGTCAGTGAGAATGGAAAGTTTCATCTCTGGCTGGTCAAACATTTTTCAACTCCTCCAAGTCACATAAAAATATGCAAGTTAATATCATTCAAAAAGAAGACACAAAACCTTTTAAACTGATTCAAAACTATTTCTAAAATAAATTTTTAAAAAAGATTAAGTATTTTATATAAAAGAGAACTAAAGAAGACAGCATCAGGGTTATTTTCCCCCTTAATACATGTTGATACAAATAAGAAGCTCTAAGTGCCAAAAAACATGGCAGTTCAATAGCTTTCTGTGGCATAGCAACTGCAAGGAAAGGCTTTATAAAGAACAAATCTGGCCCAAGTTGCCTAATGTGAAACGGATGTAATCCCTGACTGTACAAAGCCCTTTTATGAACCATTTAAGAAGTTCTAGATCATTGTTTTCTGGCACTGGAGGTATACTGCACTTCACTGTGAGTTCAGGTTTAACACAAGGTAGAAGTTAACGGATGAAACTGCTACCGCTGCCTTGTAGATAAACACAATTAAATTTCTGGCATAATTATAAATTCAAAAACAGTGTCATCAAATTCTAGAATCTTTTATATTTAATTTTCTTTTTCTTCCCCTTCTTAAGGCCAGAGTAATAGAATCTTCTCTTAAAGGACACAGTAAAATCCACCTTGCCTCAAACAAATACCAATGGCCCCTCCAATTTCTAATGTTTTAAATGTATGTAAGGATTTTGTCTCTTTTATTCACCACTACATCTTGTTACCAAAATGGTGTTTAGCGCATAGTGGGGACACTATGCATATCTATTGACAAGGCTGCCTGCTGTCCACACCAAAAAATACTTCACAGCTTACCACTTCATTCTTTTAAAAACATTTTTGCTAAACTAGTATTTTTCAGTCTTTCACAGTTCACATCACTGAGTAGTGTCACAGAGGTGGGCATGAAATGAACAAAATTCCTTAGTGGAACAAAAATAGCACACTGATGCAGCAACATTTTCTTTCTTCATATAGACTTGGCTTCTTTTCTTTTTTGCATCCTTGTAAGATCTTTTAGTAGAATGTGCTCTACCACAGGAATATGTTTGCCTTAAGAGATGAGCAGATTTACCGACTACTGGTACCATAAATTAATTTTTCTTTTTTTCCAGCAACATATGAATATTATTACAGTAAGAAAATCTGAAGTTTCAATATTTTAAATCTTAAAATGCCAGCTACAGCATCATTGGATGCTTTTCTTGTTCCTTGTCACTATTACTTTAGCAGAAATAAGTTATATTATAAATATCAAGCAACTAGAGAAATTAGAAATAATCTAAATAATATGCAACACGATTAGCTGTAAGTAAGATAGTCAAGATGTGATGGTTATTGCTTTGGGTGACTTTGTTCTTTTGTTGTATGTCTTCAAGGTTGCACTATTCTTCCATTTCTGATTGGATTTAGAGAATTTTAAAAGCTCTTACTTCCCACCATCAGTTGCACTAAAATGGCTCATAATAGATGAGAATTCAAATTCTCTGTTAAGTCATCTTTTAGACTTTAGTGGCTTAGATGCTGATTACAATTGATTTAAGAAGGCATAATAAAACATACAGTCACTAATTTGAAATAGGAATTATGAATTATCCCATCTTACAATCAGTTTATCTTCATAGAAGACACTTCTTCCTAAAGCAAACTAACATAAGTAAGTATAACAAATTCCCGGTACATCCATTTCCCTGCTCCTTTTAAATAAATTAAAAATTTTTAATATAAAAAAAATTGAATATTTTTAAAGAAACCAATGATATATAATAAGTTTCTGGGAAAGGTTTCTCTATATAGCTCAAAATCTATTTCTATGTAGAATATGTCTTCCTGAGTTCAGCATAACCTTTAATAATCAATTTACCTGAAATATTCTAACACTGTCCTAACACCTAATAAGAGATCCCTTCATATAATAGCCAAATTATTTGTTGAATAAATTAAAAAAGGAAAAACATTTCAAAATAAAGAGAATTAAAAATATACTGCTCTTTTTCATTGAATTGCTAAGGAATTTGAAAAGACCTATAGAACATAAACAGTACTGGATTATGATATAATTTACTGAAAAGCATTCTGAGATCTCATCAATGTTAACACAGCAATCCTGATAAAACCCATCTGCAGTGGAAAATAATCCCTCCTAACTCACCTAACAAGTCAATAGCAACATCAAGTGATAATACTCATTTATCCAAAAACTTCTAAGTTCAAGACTTGAAGGTCTTAAGCTTAAGTATACATCATAATCACCTTTGCTTTTTTCATAGTATAGATATGAACCACATGAATAAGAATTTCCAGGGATGGAGTCTGGACATTAGTAACTAGAAAAAGTCCTACAGTTGACTAATGCAGAGCCAGGAGGTAGAACCACAAACATATAGCTACACAAACTTTTTATACACTTCTAATAACTTTAGCTATCTGGGGTCCTATCCAAAACAAAACCAAAACAGATTCAAAGGGGCAAAGGAAAAGTGGTGATAAATGGCCACACAGAGCAATGTAAAAATAAAATAACATTGTCCTTAAAGAAATGAGACAGTGTAGCAAGTATTAGCAGTCAAAAACACTTAAAAAGTCTAACATTCAAGTTTAACACTAGAGCAAGAGGATCAAGAGCCCTAAAACTGTCCTGAGGGCTTCATTATAATACATATATGATTTTAAAAAGTGTTCAAAACATCAGCACCAAGACATTAAAAGCTAACTTTTGTTCAAAAGCAGTACATTTAAAAAATAAAATAAAATTTACAACAAAGCAGTTAAAATGAAATTTGGGCTATGGTGTTAGTTCAGTGGTAGAGAGCTTGTCTACTATGAGCAAGCCCTAGGTTCCATCCCAAGCAGCACTACAAAGAAAAATAAATTTAAAATAAGTAAATAAAAGGGGCAAGCTTCTACTATGTAGAAATTTACTTTCATAAAACAGATAATTCCAAAATCCAGTAAATACTTTGACCTACATAATATTCCCTATTTCATTTACCCTCCTCTTCATCAGATATGTTGCCAAGTGTTGGGCCATTTTCAAGTACTAACTAGTATTAATATAACTAGATTTGCCATAAAATATAGGTTCAAAAAGCAATTACTGCTTAAAATGCATGGCAGCTAAAGATGGCATAACAATATAATATTTCTTACAAAGGTTATTTTGAAGGGAATTTCATCTAGAAGTATCTAAATTCAGACATTACTAAAAATCATATTATTTTAAATATTTCCTGAATATATCTCTAATTTGACACAAGGTGACATCTACTCAAAATATTCATAAAAGCAAAAATCAAGATTTGGAAAGGTGTTGGGCAGAGAGCAATCTTTTAAGCACAATAAATTATAATTCTCACATCCCTGTTACATATTATTTCTAGTCATTTCATCCTCCTAAGCATTTCCTAAAAAGAATGCTCCTAAAACACTGTCTTATATACATTATACTTAGACTTGGCCAAAACTGTGAGGAACTTGTTTCTAAGCAATTTAAAAGAAGCAACACACTGATTTATAAACCCAAGATAAACTTTCATTTCTCTTCATAGAAAATGGCAGAATAAGTTACTTTAATGAAAAATCTCAAGTGTGACTTTTTATCACACTCTCGCAAAGATGTAAAACAATTAACTTATTATACCTGAAAGTTCTGAGACTCCAGATACCAAAAAAAAAAAAAATTATCTGGAGACTGTTGATCAGTGTTAAAATTCTACACCTATTCTCTACGTAATAACTCAAAAATAATTGTTTTTATTATTCATATACCCATCTGCTATATATTATTTCTGGTCACTTCACCTTTTTAAGGATTTCCAAAAAAAGATTGTCCTAAAAGTGTTTTCTTATATCTGTTAGAATAGGCCAAGTCATTCATCTGACTACAACATAAGTGTGTAAATACTTAATACCATTAGAAATATTATAAAATAATAATGAGTTAATCTGAAATTAGACAAGCAAAATGGCTGAACAGCTAAATATCTGATCTATATTTAGAAACACCTGGAACATATCATAATAAAAGGATTCCCAATAACATTAGAAGATAATAATTTGAATTTTAGTGGGAATTTCAGAAAGATATTATGCTCCATAATAGCACCAGAAAAAGCTGGTACTAAAATAGCCAGGAAAACACAGAACTTATATATATCATGTTGGTTTAGAATCTTTAAATAGATTCCCCATAGATTAGCAGTGAACCCAAAGTAACACAATCAATCACTATCACCATTTTAGAAAATATTTTTTTCTCAAACCCTGGAATTTATTCTACATGAGTCACTTGATTTACTCATTAATGTAAAGAACAAAAAATATACATCACATAGCCAGGAGTCATGGCACACACCTATAATCCCACCAACTCAGGAGGTTGAGGCAGGAGGATTTCAAGTTTGAGGCAAGTCTTAGCAACTTAGCAAGACCCTGTTTCAAAATAAAAAGGACTGGGGATATAACTCAGTAGTAGAGCACTTACTTGCCTAGTATGTGCCAGGTCCTGGGTTCATTCCCTAATACCACATACACATGCACACACACACACAAAATCATAAGAATCACTAAGAAAAACTTTAAGACCCCAAGAAAAAGTAGATGAGAGAGAAGACTTCAGAAAACGTGAAACTTAAAATGCCAATAAAAAGGAGGGAAAAAATTAGCATAACCACAATTAAACAAATTCAAATTTAAACTACAATGATATACCCATTGTAAGCCATAAAAAAATCAAAGTCTGATACTCAAGGCTGATAAGAGTGTAGAGGGATACACTGTAGGTCCACTTGGGTAGGAATGTAATAGGTACAGTTCTGGAATGAGTAATATTATCTTCATGTCAAAGTTCACACTTTTTGATTCAATCATATACAATTATAAATACATGATTTTTTTTAGTACAGCATAGTTTTAAATGGAGACGAAAAGAATACAACTTTCCAAGAACACAGCAATGTTCAACACAATAATCATTAAATACATGACCTATCAAAAATAATACATTAGCTAATAAAAATGTTTTTTAGCCATTAATAACTTTATATGTAAAAACAGCTTACACACACCTTAAGGGTTAAAAATCAGGAAATTAAATCAGTATCTATTTATATCCCAAAAAATTGAAAAAAAAATAGAAAGGGAATATGGCAGAAAATCGAAGTGGTTATCTCTAAGAAATGAAACTATGAAGTAATTTTAGTCTCTATATTTTTCAAAAATTTCTATAATAGTCATACCTCTATATCGCCCAAACTGACAAATGTTTAACAACCAGCTAGGGAATGAGAGAGTTGGCAAGTGTCCGCTGATTTCCATGGGATAAATACTCTCACCATGACTAATTATAAGCTACCAATGGTTTCAGCAACTGGCTCACAAAATTCCTGAAATTTTAGCAATCGGCACTTGCAAGCCAGTGTGAGCTACTCCAGTACAAGTCAGCCTCAATACATTACAGTTTAAAAGGTATACAAAATATTTAAAGAATAGTGATGATTATGACTTCAAATCACATATATAAAGAGAGGGAAGAAAAAAGGATGAAAAATTGACCATATAGATACAAATATACCAATTTCAAAGATTTCCTAAGAATATCAAAAAGGCTATATATAGCCAACTACCACTGTGCAAGAGAGAAAAACAAACAAACAAAAACAAGGGGTAACTTCCAAGGCTGGGGCTATAGCTCAGTGGCAGAGCACCTGCCTAGCATGTGTGAAGCTCTGGTTCAATCCTTAGCACCACATAAAAATTAACAAAAATAAATTAATTAATTAAAAAAAAGAAGAGGTAACTTCCAATAGTATTTACTGGTCATTTTTGTAATTTACTCATCATTCAACAACAAAATATTCACTAAGAGCCCATTGTGTCTCCTATAATAAGCTCCTGGGGTATAATAGAGTAAAATGAAATCCCTGCCCTCATGGAGCTTACATTCTATTAAAGGTATTCAACAAGCTTTTCCTGATGAATAACCGGTATTTAATTTTACTTTACTTAATAAAGTAAGTTAAACTACCTGGGTACAGTGGCTCACATTTATAATTCCAATAACCCATGAAGCTGAAGCAAGAGGCTCTCAAGTTCATGGCCAGCCTCCACAACTCAGTAAGACCCTCTTCTCATAATAAAAATAAAAATAAAAAGGGCTGGGGATGCTGGGCATGGTGGTGCACACTTGTAATTCCAGCTACTCAGGAGGCTGATGAAGAAGAATCTCAAGTCTGAATCCAGCCTATGCAACTTAGTGAGGCCCTGTTGCAAAATAAAAAATAAAAGGGCTGGGTATGTAGCTCAGGAGTAAAAGCACCAATGGGTTCAATGCCAAATACCAGACATATGTGTACACACCAGACACACACACACGTATTAATAAATTATTATGTATACACATGTGTGTACATTATATGTGTATGTATGAGTATGTAAAACCAGTATAAATGAGAAGCAAGGTGCTACATATCATCCCCTAGTTTTAGGAGAATAAAAGAGATGTGAGAAAAGAAAAGCTCATTTTCAGGAAAAAAGAGGGACATGATGAAAAGGTAGAAAAACTTGAAAGTCATGGTCCACCATCTCTGGGCAGGCATCCCTCCCTCTTCCCTCTTGTTGAAACTGCTGCAACATGCCAACTTTACTAAATCACACAAGATTTTTATATCTGCCTTAAGGTCCAACCAGGTTCCTGTCTATAAGCTATACCAATAGTTTGAGATTAAAAGATTAGCAACCACCACCTTAATACATTCTCTTACTTTTGCAGGAGACCGCTGTTTCCGCTTCTTCTTTTTCTGTAAGTCTACTGGCTCTCTGATTTGTTTTTTGTCTCTCATCAGTTGTTCAGATACATCAGTAAAAGTAATTTCCTGCTTTACACTTATCTGTTCAAAAAAAAAAGCTGATTTTAGAAATACATAAAAAGTCCATTGTAAAAAAAAGTCATTGTATGTTAAATCCTTTGCTGAACCTACATGTAGGTGCTCCCACAGCGACTATGTGATGTGTGCCAACTAAACAGTGTTCATAGAATTTATTAATAGGCAGTTGAGAAATAAAAATCAAGAGTACTTAAGCTGAAGGTGAAACTAAGATATGTGTGTGTGTGTGTGTGTGAGTGTGTACACACTCACACACACACACACACTCACACACATATGGTTTTTTTAAAAATCTACCTGGAATAAGGATTAAAGATGTCCTGAAAAAAGATAATCAAAGTGGAATACAGTAGAAGTCAGGACATCAAAACATCAATTTCATTGCCACATTTAAGAACTGATGTGAGATTACAAGCACCAAAAGAGGTTAAGTTCCAAAAATCAATACAATACTGGGGGGGACATAAGGGACATTTAGACATCTTGATGGGGTTGCTTTTATAAAATATCAAGAATACAACACAAACTTATAAAATATGATACATTAAAAGAAAAGATAGACTAACAACGAAAACTTTATTATTTTATGTTCAATGTCTTTGCCAAGATAGTAGTCAGTATTTTCCTAAGTTTTACAATAAACCATCACCAAATAGGTGATCATGAGATTGTGTATGGATTAAGGCCACTACTCTGCCCAAGATCTGATGCTTACTATATATAAGTAGAGACATTAATCCATTTTTAGATCTCAGTTCTCACAGTGCTGCTTGTCCTAAAAGAAACCAAAGGTCTAAGGTCACTAATGGTACGGTCAATTCTCATTAGAACTAACAGTGCTCCTTTATACCCCTCTTCACTGCTACTTTTTCAATCTATCCTTGAAGTGAAAACCCAAGGACTTTAAAAGAAATTTTTAACAGTCTATGAAATATAGCAAAAAATCCTCAAAAATCATCTGAGAAGCAGAATGTGCTAATGACCACATTTTTAAAGAACACTAAAAATGTGCAAAAGATTATCAGCATCTTATAGATAAATAGTGTAAGCTGGAAGACAGACAGCTATGTAGAAAAGGCTCATGAATTAAATGTTTAAAGATAAGCCATGGATTTCAGATAGACAAAATAAGGAAGTAGAAACTGCCATAAATTCCTGAAATGTGGACAATATAAGAATCACAAATCAAGAAGCTTGGCATAAGAAAACTATGATGTAAATTACTATTTACCTAATTGATAATTTTATCAAGCTATAGAACAGTAATATGACTGCTCTTAGGACTTCTTACATTACTAATCAATTAGAACATAAAACAGAAGGTCATATCACCACCAACAAGGCTTTGGGTAGGACATCATACCACCTCTGAAGTGATGTTTAATAAAATACAACTACACTCTTGGGCTAAGTATGAGACAAAGAGAGATAAGAGACTTTTAAGCAGCCGTGGAATTGCTCTGTCCTATTTTGCAGGGCATCCATAAGCTGGGGATATAGCTTATGGATGCTTGTCTTGCATACACAAGGCCCTGGGTTCTAATCCCCAGCACCACACCAAAAAAAAAAAAAAAGAAAGACAGAAAGAAAAGAAAGAAGAAGTGCCTATTTTGTAGGGCCTCCAAAAAAAAGTAATCCAAACATTTCTGTAGGCTTATAAATTGCAAAGAAACCATGAAATGTAACATGCAGTAAGAAGAAACAGAGGAACTCTTTTTAGTAATTCATTCTTATCTACCCTTTCCTTAAGAACTCTCTTTAAAAGAAAAATGTGTTCTCCATGTTACTTTTCACCAAAAAAAAAAAGTGTAATTAATAAAAAGTAGGTGTCAGTAGGCAAGTAATGTTAGAAAACATTGGTTTGCTGCATTTAAAAAAAAAAACTGTTACCAAAAATTTATTTTTTTTTTGGAGGGGGGGACTGGATAGCAGCAACACCTAGAGAAAGTATTTATTTTTGTAAATATTCATATTATAGCAATCCAATTGTGAGATACAAAGTTTTACCTCAGTTTTCAACTTAGAAAACTTTGTCATTTGGAAAAAAAATTATTTAAACCTACTTTCTAATATCTATACTTATTTAGTTTCATCTCTGATTATTTTGGCCACAACTTTCAAATCCATGTAAATAAATATGAACTATTAAACAATTGCCTTGCCCTTAATTTTAATGGAAATGTTGGTAATAGTTCCCCAAAATGAGTATTTCAGCTTTTTTCCCTTTTTACTTCAGTTTTGAATTCCTTAAAACATCAGTAATGTATGTTACATACTACCATATTCTTTATAATTTTTGTTCTTTTTAGATTCACATGTGTATTTGGACATATTATACATGCATGGAGTATAATTTATTCTAATGAAAAACCCATTCTGGTGGTTGTACATTATGTGGAGTTACACTGACCATATATTCATATATAAACATTAAAAAGTTATGTGGATTCATTCTACTGTCTTTCCTATTCCCATCCTCCCTGCCCATCCATTCATTCCCCTTTGTCTTAATCCAATGAACTTTTTGGGGGTGGGGGAAAAGGGATAAAGGATTGAATTCAGGGGCTCTCAACCACTGAGCCACATCCCAGCGCCATTTTGCATTTTATTTACAGACAGGGTCTCATTGTGCTGCTTAGCACTTTGCTTTTGCTGAGGCTGGTTTTGAACTCAGATCCTTCTGCCTCAGCCTCCCAAGCCACTGGGATTGAGACGCTGCTCCCCCCTTATTATGTGTTAGCATCCAAAATATCAGAGAGAACATTTGGCCTTCGGTATTTGAGGATTGGCTTACATCACTTTTGTTTGCTGCATTTTTAAAATCCACTAAACACGAAGAAAATCAAGTCTAGAAAAAGTCAATTAAAAACAAACAAACAAACAAAAACCCCTCCTTTATTCTGACATTTGAGTTTAACTATTTCACTCAATCTCATCAGCACATTCATGACTATTAGATCTGAATTTCAATGCACTCTCACACTGTCCAGAAATAGCACCACCACTTCCAAAAAAAAAAAGTCCTTTTTCATTTAGACTTAATTAAACCCAGAAAATTCACCTCCTAGAACTCTAGTCTCTGCTCATTCCCTGATCCAAGTTGTCTCCAACACAGTAGTCCTATAGTGTCATGATTCCTTGAGACTTCTAAAATGTATCTCCCTCTTTCATATCTAAAATTTAGGTCCCAACTTTGAACATAAAGAAGTCTTCCTATATTGAAAAAAAATCTTTTCTTGATTCTCAAGCTCCAAATCTAATTCAAGTCCAGAATCCAGAATGTCTTTCTTTTCCAAGACTTATTTCATTTTAGGCCCCAAAATAAAAAGTCTTTCTTTTATATTTAACTATCTCACATACATGTATTTTTCACTGGCATTTCTCATAATATCTTTCACTAATTTATTCACTCAACAGCTATTAAGGGCCTGCTCTGCGCCAAATTCAGTCAGACTAAAATAACAAAAAACAAAAACATTTACTGAGATCCATATATGTGCAAAGTATAATTTTAGAACGAAGAGATCATGCTATACAGTAGTTTCCTTTTCAAAGGTCTTAACAATGAATAATTCAAGATAGCAATGTCCTGCTCTAACTAAATGAATAGTACTCGGAATAAAGGTAGGAATTCCAAGGAAGGAATGGAAAATCAAAGATAGTTGAAATAACTGCAACAGACCTATGGATAAAAAAAGAGTCTTAATTATTATGTATTCCCTTTTTATTTTTTCTTCCAAAACTGCTTGCTACTCTCCCCAACTTTCTCCTCCAAGACTCTTCCTTCTTTTCATTCCCAACATCCTTATTTACGTATCCAGCGACATCCATTTCACTCCAATTAATAGTACCAATCTGCTGACTTGGGCATTATCATTTTCTCAATGTATTCTTCCACAAATAAATTAATGTTGCTTACTTGTCATTTCTCTAGTAGTGATTCTGCAATATTGCCTCGTTGCCAACAGTATCAACTGCAAACTCCCCAGCTCAGATTATTCAAGATTCTGTGATCAATCGATTTTTGCAAGGGACATAAGTCACCTGGTAGAAGTATCTATCCTTACACCATCTCTCCTCTCCATTTCTGGAGCTATATGGTCCTATCAAGTTTCAATTTCAATTTCTGGTAGTCTTTCTTATCTTCCCACTCACGGAGAAAAAGAAAGGTATTCTGCTTTCCTCTATACTGTGTATTGATGCTTCCATTCCCACCCATCATCAAGGGTCTGTAGCTTCATTGCCTCTCTAGTGCCCCTGATTCCCCATCAGCGATTTCTTCTCTTCCCAAAAGCATACTGCAGTTTCTCCTATAAATTTCTGAGCTGGGCATTGTGGTGCACACCTGTAATCCTAGCTACTCAGGAGGCTGAGGCAGGAGAACTGTAAGTTAGAGTCCAGCCTCGGCAACTTAGTCAGATCCTATCTCAAAATTTTAAAAAGGGCTTGGGATTTAGCTTGGTAGCAGAGCACCTGCCAAGCATGTGCAAGGCCCTGGTTCAGTCCCCAGTACTACAAATACATATATACATACATACATACATACACACACAGATTTTTGTGGATTCAAATATTTCTACCTATTATTCTTTTTTTGGCAAACATTTTGAAAGAATAATCTGTACTTGGCATATAGAGACAAAATAACTGTTCCCAAATTTAGGAAAACAGTTATCCTGAGAGTAAAAGTAGTACACAGCCATATAAAAAGAACGTGTTTAAATATCACCAGAAGAAATCTATTTCAAAATATTGCCTAGGAAACACTTAAGTTGAATCAAGGTGACCACAAGTATAAATATTTAAATGTAAAAAGATATAACACAACTGACTATATTACAAACATACATAATAGCTAAACAACAAATGTTAGCAATATTTGGGGGTATCTATGGAATACAGAAAAGGAAAAACTTCAGAGAGAGAATGTGAGAGACGGAGCATGAGCGCGCGTGTTTCTGTGTATGTGTATTTCCAGGGTGGTTTTGACAAGAACAGTTAGA